CTTTCGCCGTCGTGCGTGCTTGCTGTTGGTCGGTCCCAGTGTGACCGAAATTGTGTGCCGCCGGTCCATGCTGTGCAGTTGGTTCTCCTGCAGTTGGTGATGTTTTATCTTTTTATCAACTTTTATGTGAATAGATTACTACATATGTATATATTTGTTCTATTTTTCTTTTATCTCGTATTACTTGTATTTTATTAATTTACATTTGTGTGTTTATGATAGACGAGGGCGCCCATTCTTTTTTTTCTATTCTGTATAATAATTTTTCTTTATTATTATTATTAAAGTGTTGTAGGCCCAACACCGGCCATTCATTAATTGTATTTTTATTTTTAATATTATTGGTCACCCGCACATACATAAATGTAAATATTTTATTGTCTCTGGGTAATTGTAAGGACATACGCTTTACCATTTGAGGCCAACCGCCTTTACGTAGGAGCCTGATGGTACATTTTTGGTAGCAGAGCGAAGCCAAAAACCTCTTTTCTGTCCGTCTGCCCAGCATTTTCCGTGATCCTCGAAACTTCCTCAATGCTTAGATTCTCGAAGGATGCTTTTATGCTGGTGCTGGAGGCCAGAAGTTTGAGTCCGGCAAATTGTGACCTCATCTCTTCTACGGCAACTGTCTCCAGGATTGACATCTCACTAAATCTTTAATTTGGGAAGTACGAGTGGAAAGGCTGTGTGAGTAAATAGGATTCTGTTTTATTTTTATTTTTTTTTTTTTTTTTCACAAAAAAATCACTTTTCCCATCAAAGCCACTCACTTCCTATGCCCGATGAAAATGGCGTGGCTTTCCCAAAAGGAGGAAAAGTGGATGGATTTGGAGAAAAAGGGGAGTTAAAGCTGCAGCCCAACACGACTAATGTGGATTTCAATGATGTTTGTTCTTCAGAAATATCAAGAAGTTTTGCGTAGATCCATTCTAATTGTCGTTTTAAGTCAGTTCCTAGCAGGGTATGGGTTTCACTGACAGTTTTTTTTCCAAGCTGTCTTCTCCCTCCATAGACGTGTTGTATGCACAATCTGCGTAAAAAGAGGAGAGAGTGAGTGTTGCGCGTTTTTAGAGGCCATTATTATCATTTTCACTGCCTCATTCATGGACTCGGGAGAGACATCAACAGGAGAATTCGGCAACAATTCAGGACCACTTGGACCTAACTCTTTGTATGGGGCCCAAAGCCTAGCAATGTGTCTCCTCAACATGGGACTTCCCTGGCTTGGATCCTCCAACATGTGTCTGGTGATTGCTGAGAGAGTTTTTCCTTTACACAATGGAACGGTCTCAGATTCTATCAATGCTCTGGTAACCTCAGTGGCATTTTCAACCCCTTTGGTCTCTTCTACCAAGAAATTTCTTAGCTTCTTGAAATGTCTATGTGCGAAGAGGTCGCTCGAAAATGACAATTGGTAATTTTTATTCAGTAAGTATTGCAGAGCGTGGTTACTTTTTACGATTCTATTTTATTTGTTTATTTTTTTTTTTGTGATTGATTCTGTTTGGTTGCCTTGTCGTGTTTTATATTAATTCGCGATGGATACACAAGAAGGCGCACGTATTAGTCGTACGTTAAAAAAGGCATCACTTAGGCGCAATGAATGCATGAAAAGTATTCGTAAGATCCATTCGCTCGCGGAGCGTTGTGTAGAAAATGCATCGTTGGTTTCGCAGTTGTCGTTTATGCTTGAGGAGGTAGACGCGATCTGGGCGGCCTTTGTTTCTGAAAGCGAAACTGTGATGGATTGTCTGATTGATTTAGATCGTGAATCAGAATATTCAGTTGATCAAGTCGTTGAGCTTCGAGAATTGGTTTCCTTCGCTCGGGCAACTCTTAATCGTTACAGCTCTGATCAGAATGCTGAAACGTCTATTCGAAGCGATGTTCGTAGAAACTCCAGTACATCTCTTGTTGGCCAACAGTCTGTAAATGAGTTAATTGTTGAGGGAGCGGACCACGAACTTCGTAGTCAAAATATACATGACAGTGTAATAGTGTGCGCGAATCCCGGGGAAAACGGTACAAATATCCAAGTAGATTCTGATGGTTCTAGCTTACGTAGTAATATGTCTAATGTCAAACTGGTCCGGTTACCTGAAATACCTCTGCCCACCTTTCATGGCGATATTTTTAAATGGTTAACATTTCGGGACCGCTTTATTTCAATGGTAGATCAACGCCCAAATATTAACGACATCGATAAATTTTATTATTTAACAGGCTGTCTGAAAGATAATGCGTTAGAAGCAATCTCTGGTATACCGGTATCCGGCGAAAATTATAAATTGGCGTGGTCCACGCTAACGGCACGTTTTGATAGACCGCGCTTGGTTGCTTCTTCGTTGATTGATAAATTATTAAGTGCTCCTAAAGCTTCAACTGAGACGCTTTCAGATCTACATAAATTTTTATTGGTGTTCGACGAAGGGGTGTCGGTTCTTGATTCTATGAAACTCCCCGATCTCGGCGATTTTATTTTATTTTCAGTGGCTTCACGGTGTTTACCGTCATATTCGATCAAACTTTTTGAGTCACAACTCTCCAACGGGTTTCCTACAGTTAGGGACCTATTAGCTTTCGTCAAGTCACGTATCAATGTTTTAGAATGTGTACCCAACGTACCGCGTGATTCTGTTCACAAGTCAATAAAACAGTCGGTCCCTCAAAATTCGTATGCCACACCGAATCGTTATAATTCCGGCGTTAATAAGTTTAAAAAACAACAGTCCACATCGTTGATGACTAATACGGTGATATCGAAATCAAACGTGTTGTGTCTCATCTGTAAGGGGTCGCATGCAGTGTCGGTATGCCATAAATTTACGGGCTGGTCCGTAGACGTTCGAGAAAAATGGGTTCGTGAAAATAGATGTTGTTTCCGGTGCCTGCGCATTGGCCATTGGGCCCCTGAGTGTAAGTCTCCTGTGCAGTGCACTAAATGCACCCGCAGACATCATCCACTACTACATACTTCGGCCACGGGTATGAATGATAGAAGTAGCAATCCAACTTGTAATAGTCAGGTGTCCCGCGAAGAAAGCACGGCGCAATCGTCTCTTTTAGGCAGTAGTACGCAAAATTCATCGTCTGTTATTCTCGGGACCGCACTAGTTCATATCCGCGACTGTGGTGGTGTGTTGCACACTATGCGCGCTCTGGTTGATTCTGCGTCCCAGATAAGTGCGATTACCGCGGATGGCGCTGCCCAATTGGGTTTAAGAGTTACCCGTTGGACCGCCCCTGTATCTGGGTTATCAGGTGCTTCGGTACTGAACGTTAAGGGAATGGTCACTTGCGATATTCAGCCTCGATTTTCGAATGAACCATTTATCAATTTTACAGCTTGGGTGTTCCCCACGGTTACAGGTAACATGCCTAGCCAGTCAGTATCCAGCCAGGTAGCAGACAAATATAAAAATTTGGCCCTAGCGGACCCCTCGTTCACGATACCAAGTAAGATTGATTTGTTACTCGGTGCCGACATATTTGCGCGTATCTTGAACGGTAAACGGGTGTCGGTAGGTGACTCGTACCCGGTGGCATTCGGCTCAATATTTGGTTGGATAATAATTGGCCCTGTCCCTCCTTCGAATAATTACGTTCCTACTTCACATCATATCTCATTGGTTTCCTCAATCGAATCTTTAATGGATAAATTCTGGCAAGTAGAGGAACCAGAAGCGGCCCCAGTGACCTTTACTTGTGACGGAAAATGTGAGGAGTTGTTCCGTGATAAATGTTCTCGTGACGAATCCGGACGTTTCGTTGTGCCCCTGTTGTTCCGTCAAACGGTCGCGGACAATATCTTTTCTGGCTCGCGTGCTGTCGCAGTAAAACGCTTTGAATCCCTCGAGCGAAAGCTTACGTCAGACGACCGACTTCGCGAGGCGTACTGTAACTTTATGGCTGAATATCTATCCTTAGGGCACATGTCACCGGCTACGACCACTGGTTCCTACTTTATACCACACCATGCTGTGTTCAAGTCTTCCAATTCAGAAGCCAAAATTCGTGTCGTGTTCGACGCGTCCGCTCAATCGTTTTCTAGTACATCGTTAAACCAATGTTTATTCGCGGGCCCAAAATTACAACAGGACGTTATTGATGTACTGATGCGTTTTCGTCTGCCGCGTTATGCATTTACCGCGGACATTAATAAAATGTATCGGCAAGTTTTGTTAATTCCCGAACATCGTCGTTATCAACACATTCTATGGCGTGCATCCCCGCAGGATGAGCTTAAGGCATATGAACTGAATACAGTAACATATGGGGTAAACTGTGCCCCGTTCTTAGCTATACGGGTGCTTCGGGAAATTGCTGAGTCTGACTGTGTTGACGTTCCATCTGTCCGTGACGCTTTAATGTTCAACACTTACGTCGACGACATTTGCGTGGGGGGTGACACAGTAGATGAAATAATCACACTCCAGACCGATTTAATTAACATATTGCAACGAGCAGGAATGAGCTTGAAGAAGTGGTCAAGCAATAACACCGCGGTTTTAGATAGGGTACTGCCTGAAGATAGGGCCGGCGGGATGTCGTCCTTTGATGATGATACTTGTAGCGGCTCCAAGGTATTAGGGCTTCAATGGTCACAACGTGATGACACCTTTTTGTATATTGTTCAACCTGAACGTTTAGTCTCAACTAAGCGGGGAATGCTGTCACTAATTGCTCGCATATTCGATCCCCTTGGTTTATTAGCACCCGTAATATTTTTCGCAAAACATTTGATGCAACGCGTATGGCAGCTGGGTATTTCATGGGATGATCCATTACCCCCCGAAATAGTTGACGTTTGGAATAAGTTTGTGGCGGATCTCCCCGTGTTACAACAAGTAACTGTTCCCCGTTTTATCGGTACTCAGACCGGTGTGCAAGGTGTCCTATGCGGATTTTGCGACGCGTCCGAAAAGGGATATTCTGCGGTCGTTTATTTAAGGTTATTTAATCAATCCGGACCACCAGTAATTTCATTATTAGGGTCAAAAACCAAAACTGCCCCCCTCAATTCGTCGACGATTCCACGGTTGGAACTTTGTGCGGCGGTCTTACTCGCTCGGTGGATGGTTCGAATTAAAACCGCGTTAAATAATAAAATCCAAATAGTAAACTTATATGCATGGTCAGACTCTACTACTGTACTTAGTTGGCTGAAAGTACCACATGATAAGTTTAAAGTTTTCGTTTCAAATCGTATTCACAAGGTGATAACGTTACTACCCGACTGTCACTGGGATTATATATCGTCGCGTGACAACCCCGCAGATTGTGCGTCGCGAGGTGTTTTCCCCACCGACTTGGTCCACCATAAATTATATTGGCGTGGACCTGAAATTTTATATCGTGATGTGCTCGATGGGCCGACGTTGAGTCGAGACATCAATATTGAAAATTTACCGGAATTAAAAATCGTGTCGCCAGCGACGTTAGTAACCAAGACTAGTGACACTCTTGAACCGGAATGGTATTCACGTTTTTCCTCATATTCTCATATGATTCGCGTTGTTGCTTATGTGTATCGTTTTATTAAAATCTGTAAGCGTCGTCAGACATACGTAACTCCATTTTTAACTCGCGCCGAATTGGACCACGCCGCCGTGGCAATCGCGAAATGTTCACAACACATTACGTTCGGTAAGTTACTTTACGAGCTGTCGCAGAATCGTCCGATTACCGCCGGACCTATAGCTCGTCTCCGCCCGTTTATAGATTCCCGCGGTCTTATTTGTGTAGGTGGCCGCCTGTCAAACGCAGATGTGCCGGAAACACAAAAACACCCTATTCTATTAGGCAAATCGTCGCATTTATCCATTTTAGTAATCCGTCACTGGCACGAAATTACCGGTCACGGTGGTCCGAGGATAGTAACATCTCTCATTAACCAGTCCTTTTGGATTCTTTCACTTAATTCGCTTATTAGGTCCGTCCTTTGTAAATGTGTCACTTGTGTCCGTTTAGCGGCAGTTAATCCGCAACCCATCATGTCCGATTTACCTACGTCTCGAGTGTCCGAATGTCATCCGTTTTCGTGTGTCGGAATTGACTTCGCTGGTCCTATTGTAATGACGGAACACCGTTTACGTAAGGCCCGTCAATTTAAAGTGTATATTGCCGTATTTGTATGCTTCGCAGTCAAGGCTGTACACCTTGAATATGTGTCTGATTTGTCTACAGATGCGTTCTTAGCATCGTTACAACGGTTTGTCGCACGTCGAGGACTTCCCAAGGACATTTATACCGATTGCGGCACAAATTTTATCGGGGCATCTAATCAGCTACGCGAGCTTGTCAATGTTTCCGGTTGTAAGGACCATCTTATCTCTCGTTTCCAATGCACTTGGCATTTTAATCCACCCGGTGCACCCCATTTCGGAGGGTTATGGGAGGCGGCTGTGCGTTCAGCAAAGCGTTTAATGACACGTATTATGGGTGAACATACCTTCTCCGTTGAAGAATTGAACACAATGTTGTGCCGTATAGAGGCCATCTTAAACTCTCGCCCTTTAGTTCCGCTCTCTTCTGACCCGGCGGAATATGACTGTCTCACCCCCGGGCATTTTTTGATAGGCCGCCCGTTACTTTCGCTTCCTGAAGTGTATATAGCTGATACGGCTATTCCTTTAGCTCAACGCTGGAAACTGATAAACCAATGCGCACAGTATTTCTGGCGCCGCTGGCGCAATGAATATTTAAATACTCTCCAAATGCGGAATCGTTGGATGACCGATGTGCCCAACATTTCGGTTAATGATATGGTTATTATTAAAGAACCCAATGTTCCTCCGTTACAATGGCGTATGGCGCGAGTTCAAGAGGTGTTTCCTGGGGCAGATGGAGTAGTGCGAGTGATTCGAGTACGTACCGCCACGGGAACTTTTACGCGTCCCGTTGTAAAGGTCGTGAAATTGCCTAGTTCCTAAACCAATAATCAGTTAACCCCTGTCACGCAATGGATCACACTCTACTTATCCGTTAACGACAGTTTTTTTTTTTTTTTTTTTTGTTTTTTTTTTTACGTCCTAAGTTGCTCGTATCGGAATATGTACCATGGGTTTTCTTTCTCATACTTATAAGTGATATAGGGCGTACCAAGTATTATAGTTATAGTTGTTATTTATTTGATGTATTATTATGTATTGAATTGTAAACTTGTGCGCCTTATTTTTATTCATTCGGGTGACCAAATGAATTATACTTGGTCTTTTAATATGTTATTTATTGTAAAAAAAAAAAATGTATTAATTAGTGATTATTACTCCTATAAATTGTTTATGCTACTGTAACTTTATAACTTAGAATTTTATTTTTATGTGTAAATCAGTCACTTTGTTCTTTGTTCTTTTTTTTTTTTTTTTTATTATTACTATTTCGTTATCTTTTGTGAAAATTTAGGTGACCACTGCTTCAGTTACACTCTTCGCAACCACCTTCGACACCTCTCCATTCAGTCTTGTTGAAAGCCGCCCTGCGTCTTCCAAGGGGGGAGGATGTTCAAAAGATAAAAAAAAAAACTATTTTGTTCTAGAAAATTCTATTGTTTGTACCACCCTCCCCGCTCTGCCCTGCGTTATCGCAATTTTGACCGTCGAGCCGTACCGGGCCTGTCGCGTTTTTTGTCGTACTTGAACTCTCATACAGTACGTATCGTTGCGTGACCGCGGTTTTCGCCGACGCGTGAGTGTCCGCTGTGGACGATAATATTTTTTTGTCGCTTTGCGTCGTGTGTGCGCGTTGTTCGGTGCGTTATTTTTTACACCGTCGTGTGTGCTTTGCCGCCGGTCGGTCCGTTGCCGTCGTGCCTGTTTGCTGCTGGTCGGCCCTTTCACCTTCGTGCGTGTTTGCTGCTGGTCGGCTCTTTCGCCGTCGTGCGTGTTTGCTGTTGGTCGGCCCTTTCGCCGTCGTG